TCCAGAAAAAGAGTCCGGGTATCCAAGAAAGACACACGGCACAGTGCGGTAGTCCATCTTGTGAGTGTTATAAGGCCGGAGATTAGGAAAACACTCGCAGCCAAACACTCGTAACATCGTATAATTAGGATGTTGATCATAAACCTTATAGTACGGACTTAAGCCCCCCAGAACAGTAGAAGGCATGCGGTTTATTAAAAACACTGCTTACTCAAAGGCATAAGACTAGTATTTCTGGGGAACACGACCATGAGCTAACATAGCTAGTCCTGTTTCCACCACATGCCGGTTGCGGCGTTCCACACGCCCATTTTGTTCGTGGGTATGTGGACATGACTTTCTATGATTTATACCTGCGGCGGCAAGAGCCGTACTTAACTTGAGATACTCACCCCCCATGTCTGATTGGACACATTTAATCGAGGTGGAGAACTGTTTTTCCACCAAGGCACGGAACCTAGCAAATATTGAGTACAAATCTGATTTAAGATGCATAGGATATATCCACATAAATCTAGAAAAATCGTCTACGAAGAGCACGAAGTATTTGTGCCCATCTACACACGGAACCGGTGCTGGACCCCATATATCTGAAAAAATTAACTCTAGAAACTTGGTACTCGATTTTTCCAGTCGTGACAACGGGAAGCGCGCAGACTTGCCCATCTGACACGCAGTACACAATTTATTTAAAGATTGAAACGACCCTACAACTGGACAGGAAGATAGAATTTGTTTTAACGCACGGGAGTGTGGATGCCCAAGGCGTTCATGCCAAATCTCTGGAGACGCTTTGGCTGACACAAAAGCTGCCGGTTTAGAGAGATTCAACGAGTACGTCCCTTGTGTGCTAGGACCCCTAAGAAGTGTTTGCTGGGTGGAACGGTCCTTCACAACAAAATAATCGGGGTGAAATTCAAAAAATACGTCATTATCTTGAGTACATTTTTGAACAGAAAGAAGTGACGCACGCAATTTAGGAACATGCAGCACTTGATTTAGTAACAGTGACCGAGACTGAGATTTAAACGAAACAGAACTAGTGTTTTTAATGAGCAAACCTGACCCATCTCCGACATGGAGCAACTCACCACCAGCATATGGTTCGACTCTGACTAGGCCATCAGCGTTGGGGGTTGCATGAGTGTTAGCTCCCGTATCCGGCAGCCAAACATTGGAGAAGGGGGCAGTGCCGATATCATTCTGCTGAGGTTGGTAGGCCACATGCGCCTGAGGTGGCGGATGTGCAGGACGTGGACCGCCAAAATCCTCGAACCGCTGGTAGCAAGTGAGAGCGGTGTGACCAGGTATGTCACATATCTGACAGCGTATGCCACCGCGCCCCCGTTGTCCTCTACCACGCTGGCCACGGTGGTTGCGTCCACGCCCTCTTCCGCCTTCGGACTGGCTTCTGGAAGTCGATGGTTGATGTGCTACCATCGCGACAGCCGGAGATGGAGCATGCTGCAGTGTGTCTTCAGGAAATAGATAGCTGTGAGTGTTGAGAAGATCTGCCGCCGCTGGAATTGTAAGCGGAGCAGACTTAGTGGTTAGGGACGCCACCAGTGACCGGTATTCCGGTCTAAGCCCCCTGAAGATGTGCAGATTCTGCTCATCCAGACCAAGAGGACGGCCGGCTTGCGCAAGTTGTTCTATCAGAACCTGTGCCCGCCCCAAATATTGTGAAGGTGTGGAGTCACCTTGTTGAAGCCCCTGCAACTGAGTTAGTAAACTCAACGTACGAGAACGGGAAGTAGAGCCCAGAGCCGTCTCTGCCGCAACCCAGACACCTCTGGACGTGGAGTGTCCGATCGCCAGGTAAAGAACTTCCTCCGAGAACGAGGAAAACAACATGCTCAAGATCGATTGATCTTGCTGGACCCAGGCGGCATTAAGAGGATTCACCGTTGGAGTCGCCGTCGAGGTAGTGGCAGCAACGAACTCCGGCGGGCAGGCGTTGGTACCATCGACAAACCCAAAAAGATTTTGGCCTCGCAGGAATGGCACTAGCTGCGCTCTCCAGAACAAGTAGTTCGTGGCTGTCAGCTTTAGGGATACGTAGTGGTGAGCCTGGTGAAGGGCATTGGGTAGTCGCTGATCGGCGACCGTAACTACGTCCGGCGAGGGGGTGGTCGTGGCTACTGCCTCGGTGGTGGCATCGGTGGGGTTGGCCATAGGATCGAGAGTAAGGCTGATACCAAGTGAATTAAACTAGTGTCTGATATTTATTCTGCGTAAACATACAAGAGTATTTATAACTAGTCTAAGCACCACAATAGGTGGAGCAGAACAAGATAAGCTGAGGACTCTAACAACTCTAAACAACTTTAACCAATAAATATTTAATTCAAAATATGTGCACCAATAATTTGATCAACTTGATATGTCAGAACATTTATGAATGACAAGAAATGTCAAAGATTACCGCGCCGAACTTATTCAAATTTTGGAGGCTACAAAATTCAAGACACGGCAACGGGAAAAATATTCAAATCATCTGACAAAAGGCGAAAAGACTTCTATCGAATATTTCAGATCAAGTTGACAACTTTATTTTTGATCAACTACATACGAAGATAGACGATCGAGATCGAAAGTTGATCAACGGGCAAATAGCTTTCATTGGCTATAAATTGCCCAAGCAGACTTTAAGAAAAATATGAATTCTACACTTGAAACACGGCTGATCAATTAAGATATACAAGCAAGAGAAAAGCAACCAATATTCAAATCAGCCAAGAAGCAATATATTGAGCTATATACGATAGAATTCAAGTCTGAGTGAGAGGAAATTTTATCTCTTTGTAATATTCTTTACTGAGTGTAGAAAGAAGGCGGAGTAACTAGAGAGAGCGAAAAACCCTGGTTGAGTGTAGCTTTGTGCGTAGCACTCGTTGTAAAGGGCAGACTAACAAGAGGAGCTTGTGAAAACCCTGTGAGAGCGTAGCTTTGTGCGTAGTTCTCGTGGTGTAGGAGTAACAAGAGGAGCTTGCGAAAAACCTTGGAGGAGTGTAGCTTTGTGCGAAGCACTCGGAGAACTGTCGGTGGACACTTATTCACTATTATATCTGGATGATCGAAGAATAGTGAATTTCCTCCTTGAAGTGAAAGGAGAAGAGTGGAGTAGGAGAATTACACCATCTCCGAACCACTATAAATCTCTCTCTCTCTATTTACTTACTGCTCATATATTTCGTGCATGCTTATTCTAACTGCGAACTAACCCGATTACGATTTATCGCATATCTTTATCTGTCTGGGTTTGATAGTTCCCACGTTTGCATGCAAGCCAAACTTTACGTACATCATCTTTGAACCATATCAAGTGTTTCTAACGTATTGCATGTTTAGAATCTCTCTTTGAGCACCGCACAATTAAGCATAACACTTTACCGTTATATATTCCGCTGTGCACTCTATGTTGTTTAACTTGTTGATGCTTGTTACTTAGAGTTGAAATTACCAAAGTGTTATTTGTCTTGTGTGTTTTGAGAAGAAATTGAAAAAGTTAGAGAAGTGTATTCACCCCCCCCCCCTAGACTTCTCGCCACCCTTTCGGGACCAACAGAATGGGAAAGAGCAAACCTCCTAAATGATCCCTTAGAAGCCTTTAAATAGGCTTAAAATCTGAAATTTCATTTAAGTAACTCGTCCATGCACTTCGCAATGCACGTTGTGAGCTGCGTGGAACTTTCTAGAAATTTCTCCCAAAATGAGAGTTGTAGCCCTTGAAAATCCCGAACCATATCCACTTGAATCACCTCATTTGGACACTCCTAGCTCAAGATATGATCATTTTACCGAACTGTAGTCGGAATGTCCTGAAACTGACAATGGTTTGCTATTTTTCTACAACTGCAACATAATTAGTTCTTAATCCTAGTTTCTATCAAATTAAGCTAATTAAGCACGAATTAGGCATAAAGGACTTCAATTATAGCATAATTTGCCTCCTAAATACGCTATAAAACATAGCATCTTTGGCACTTATCAGCATCAAAGTAATTTTCAGTAGGTGGGCCTTGAGTTGTACAAGGATTAATGGATGGAGCTTCATAGTATCCTTGTTGTGGCATGTAGTCTCCATAGCACCCATGGGATTGAGAATTGTAATATCCTCCATCAGACGTGTAATTTTATATTAATATATTTTTAAATAATTATTTAATATAAACATTGAGTATTAACTTATTCGCGCAATGTGTGTGTAATAATAATAATAATAATGATGATGATTAGGGTCATTTCCTAATATTTTTTTCTTTTCCTCTGCTCCGAATTACAATTCCTATAGGGGGTCCAAAAATTCCAATTCCACAAATGGAGGGCATTGATTTCCCTACAACCAAACAATTTAATTCGAGTGGGAAAAGAGTTGTGTTGTAATTGCAATGCGATTCATGTCAAGCAAACATCATCAAGGGCAAGAGGGTCATTTCTTAATATTTTTTTTTCTTTCCCTCTGCTCCAAATTACAATTCCTATAGGGGCTGGTCCAAAAATTCTAATCGAAACTATAATAAAGCTAAATCCTTTTTGTGAAGAAATCCCGCCCAAATGAATTACACTGTTTTTGGGAACAATGGATTACATTATTTTGGTCAAAACATTTAATGTTGTCTTAAACATTTAATGTTGTCTTTTCATGATACCACCTAGAGCCACTCAATACTTTGACTTTTAATACTTCCAACATTGGTTTCTGTATACCATTTTCCAATGCACGGTCTTCCATTCCACCGCCCAAAAGATTTTGGAATTATTTGTTTGTTACAATTTATCATCTATAAATACTACATGTTTCATAGAGAAACCCACCTCACATTTACACAGCAGCACACTCTGAAGCACAAGAGAAAGATCAAGAAATAAGAGGTAATATTTTCCTTTCTATTACTTAAAAGGAGCTCTATCTCACAATACTTCCTCCTTTTAAATATTTATTACACTCATTATACAGTGATTCTCATTTGTTTTAAGGAAAGTAGAATTGGGAGAGGCATATCCTGCAAAGAAAATAAAATGTTAGAACCCCTTTTTTAAGAGAATTCATACCAATGATTCTCATATTGACACCTAAAATCAAGAGGTAATATGAAGGAAAAAAAATGTTAGAACCACTTTCTCTTTATATATATGTGTTTGAATCACACTATCTACACACATTTTACAGCTTCAACAAACCCAAAGTAATATGAAGAAGATCACTACTTCAACCGTTATTGGAAGAAAAAGGAAACAACATTTTGACAACATAGGTTTGTTCATCTTGCTATTATTTTCTGTAATTTTTTAATTGGTTAGTATTTCTTTATGAGTAACGCGAAGAACATTGTATAAAATGAACTTTTCTGGAGCTCTTATTAAAAAAACTAAATGAACTTTGCAGCCAGGTCTACTATTATCCTTCCGAGTTATGAAGCCATTTTTTAGACCAATAATACTAGAACAAAGACGAAATGGAAAATAGATAAGTGTTATTAGTGCCAGGTTTAGGTATACAACTCTGATAAAAAAATAATACTTTAAAAAATTACCAGATCTGTAAAATAACTAAAGAGGAGATGTCCAGCAGTCCGAATCTATGATTAGCTTTGATGTCTAGCCACTTTGTTCTTGGGTCTCAAATCCATCTTTATCACACCAGAAAAGTCATGAGAGTACTTTTAGAGCACACATATGAGCTGTCTGAATCAAGAACAAAAAAACAATAAAAAGCATGGAATCTATCATGATTTTCCTAAAACAAACTCAAATGTATCTTCTACACAACATTTTCAACATGGTCATTGGAGCGTGTAAACCTTAGATCATATATTTATATTTATTAAATTCGAAGTATAATATATCACTTAGATAATTCTATCAATCAGTTTTTAGTACACTAAATTACAAATATACTTATATCAGATTCATGCAAGTAAAAAAAAATATATACAGAGTAATAAATAACAAATTGAAATCTTACTACTTATCTTTGAGATTCATCCAAACCCAGATATGAAATTTTCTCCATTCGAAAAGCATGAAATTGACTTTTTAGATTGAACTCCTACTATTGAAACTCATGCTGACACGATTACTGTCTATAAGCAGTTAGATATACGATCTATGAACATGCAGCTGGAATTTTATATTCACCAAACAAATTCGAAAAAAAAATTGATCTCTCCCATCAAAGCCAGAAAAACACTTGGCTATGTGCATCTACATACAGAATCGTAATTGATTCAACCGCAGAAGATGCTCAGACGACCAAACCGTATAGTCTAGGGTTTATATGAAATTGGGATACTGAGCTATTTTAATCTTATATAGTAATGGAATAGAAGAAGGTCGAAGATTATAAACTTCCTACCGCTAAACGAGCAGAGATAATTGGATTGAAAGTTCAAGAAACGAACAGAGAAGGAAGCTGTTGAACGAAGAACATGGGTCAGAACAAATGGGAGAGATCAATACGCAGAGATGGATTTGTGGATATTTATACATGGGCTTGAAGGATTTGGGCTCTCCATATATTTTTGTTGGGCTGTATAATTTCTTGGGCTTCATGTTCTACTAACTTCTTGCACGCAAATTATGCTGTGCAACCGAATGCACCTTGCAAGGTGCATACGGTTGCAAAACGGCGTCATTTTGGTTAAAAAAACGTGCGTCCCACTTAAGGAAGAAATCAGGTTCGATTCCCGGCAATAGCATTTTTATATATCCAGAAATTCATAACTATATAACCACAATTTCATAACTATATATCCACAATTTCATAACTATATATCCACAGTGAATGAATGAAGTAAAAATCCACAATGAATGAATGAATGAAGTAAAAATCCACAATGAATGAATGAATGAATGAAGTAAAAATCCACAATGAATGAACTAAATATCCACAATATATGATTGAACTAAATATCCACAATGAATGAACTAAATATCCATAAATTCATAACTATATAACCACAATTTCATAACTATATATCCACAATTTCATAACTATATATCCACAGTGAATGAATGAAGTAAAAATCCACAATGAATGAATGAATGAAGTAAAAATCCACAATGAATGAATGAATGAAGTAAAAATCCACAATGAATGAACTAAATATCCACAATATATGATTGAACTAAATATCCACAATGAATGAACTAAATATCCATAAATTCATAACTATATAACCACAATTTCATAACTATATATCCACAATTTCATAACTATATATCCACAATAATGCTATTGCTGAGAGTCGAACCTGATTTTTTTTTTAAAGTGGGACGCGCGTTTTTAATCAAAACGACGTCGTTTTGAACCGTATGCACCATGCGCATGGTACATTCGGTTGCACAGCATAACTATTGCTTCTTGCAACCCATATGTGTATATATATAATTTTTAAATACTACTCAAAATGTTGTTTACAAATAAATTTTTAATAATTTGTAATTTTATTTCTGTTTAATGTAAGCAAATATTTCTACTTTTATTTACTTTGTTTTGAGCCTTAGCTTTAATAATGTGTAATTATACTCTAATATTTTGTGATGTGTTTCTATGTGTCAATTTATTTTACACAGTGTGTATATGTGTGTGTGTGTGTGTGTGTGTATATATATATATATATATATATATATATATATATATATATATATATGTTGTATTTTTGTATTATTAATTCCCAGGACAATTTAGTGGCATTTCTTTGCTTTCTATATTTGTTGTGAATGTTTTTTTTTAATAATAAATAACAAAATAGGATACAGACGTTTGTGTCTTATATTTGCCTCATACTTATTACTTAGTTATTATACATAACTTCTAGAATATTTTATAGAAAATAATTCACCGTCTTGCTTTAATGCAAGTATCAACACAAGTCCATCAATTGTTTATGGTGTCTAGGTTTTGGTTCCTCAAATCGCTATGATATTATCAGACCCAAGATTGACATTCAAGTTTAAGAGAAGACAATTCCCATTAATACTTTAATATGCAATGATTATAAATAAGTCAATCAATTTTTTTACACGAACAGTTATATGTAGTTGCATTAGAGTGAAGAATCCCAAAAGTATCAAAATCTTGATTTGTAATGGTTAAGCAATAATTGTAATTCAACTACTAATGTAGTTTACAAAGACGTCTTTAATAATTTGTAATTTAAAATAATTTATTATTTTATAACACTAACACTTATTACTTTTAAGTATGTTTAAATCTCAAATTTAAAATTTTACAGAAATTTTAATATTCACTTAAAAAATGATTATCTTACAATACAACAAACATAAGTTTATTAATGTTAAAATTTTGATCTGTGCATCGCACGGGTATCATACTAGTTCCACAAATGGCGGAAATTGATTTCCCTCCAACCAAACAATTTAATTCGAGTGGGAAAAGAGTTGTGTTGTAATTGCAATGCAATTCATGTCAAGCAAACATCCCATCCCATAAAAGTGTATAAAACATGAACAATTCACTAAATATTTTACGCGCACACACATATATGTGTGTGTATGTTCTCACATAAATCAACTTATATTAACATGATTAAATTGAAAGAATATTAAAGGATAACTTTAAAGTAATGAATTTGAATTTTTACTTGTATATCAATTATTTTAAAACCTTATTTATAAAAAGAAAAAAAAAACACTCTTGGGCTAGCCTGTGGCGGCAAATTTTACTGTGGACCACGATTCATATAACATTGTGAATCATGCATCAAAACAACATCGTTTGGTTTTATTTAAGAAGATAGTTACTATTTTTTAATTCTATTATCTTTCTCAGGCGGTAAAGAAAATTCATGCATATTTTGGATTCTATTCATTCGCATCTTCAATTATCCTCTATTACGATTTTCCTCTCATGTGAAGTCACTGTCGACTACATGTACAAACTTTAAATTTCAATCTAAACCAAAGAATTTAAGTTAAACCCGAAAGTTCTCTCTCTAGTGAAATACAATTTGTTAAACCATGGACCAGGTCCTCCTTGCATTATTGACCTTGGTCCAAAATAACATTGATATTATGTATATGCAATTAACACATTATGTGATGTGGAACATGAATTGAGGAAATAATAGAGAAATGAAGTTCTACATGTACTCCCATATCTTACTCCCTCAAATTTACTCCATGATGTGGCGGACTCTAATAGGTTATTTTCTTCATGTGGGCTCCTTGTAAAAGTGTCTACACCAATATTTTAAGTGTGGGAGTAAAAGTTAGGAGTAGAGAATGGGAGTACATGTAGTATTTCCCAGAGAGATGGTCACATGCATAAAGTCTAAGCGACATTGAATTTGGTGGCTACCTTTTATGTAAAATTTGAATTAGCTTTAAATGTTATTAACTCTCATTATGTTTATTTTATAGTTCCCTTGCATGTTTTTAATAATTGCAACTCTTCAGTTTTCTTAGTTTTCTATTTAAATACTTTGTATACAGGAACTTTAGTTAATTTGGCTCTTAAGAGTTTTTTTTTCTCTCTGGCACTTGTTGGCATCGTTTCCTTTGTCCTGCATCAGTTGGTTTCAGAGCCTTAGCTCAAGTTCCTAGGTGACAACCGAGATAACGGTAGTGCCCTCTCCACTTATTACGACCCAAGATGACACAAGGCGGTATCAACAACATGGGTAACAACCCATCCTTCGGTGGTGATCGTGGAATGGATGACCTTCGGGCAGCTTTTCAAGTATATTGTGAGAATGTTAATCATGAGTTTCAAGAAATTCATAACATTCCCGCAAATATAAACCTTCAATTAGAAGGTAATGATGCAACTCTAGGCATTATCAATGACTGGAATCCGCAGACAAAGCAGGTGAGCAGAAATTGGCAGCATCTCCTTTACCATCCAAATCTTGGGCAACGAACTTTTAATGGTAATTTGCACACAAAAGCCTTTTTGGACCGGTGCTTTGAAGTGGAACACTATTTAGATATGCTGGAAATCCCTGATGACAAGTAAGCCAAATATGTTGCGTGTAAACTGAGAGGGAGAGCTTCTGCCTGGTGAGATATGTTGCAAAATAATAGGAGATACCAAGGGAAATCTCCAGCAAGATCTTGGATGAAAATACAAAGAAATTTTTTTATGAGTATAATCAGTATCAGAATTGCTTCCAAGACTTCCAGTGTGTCATTGAATACACCGAAAAGTTCTTTTGGCTAGGGGCATGTTGCAATCTCTCTGAAACTTCAAAAAAACAAGTTGCGAGCTCGTTATATAAATGGTTTGAGATGTGCCATACAGGAAAAGATGAGCCCAAATCATGCATCATCCATAGATGAGGCTTACAATATGGCTTTGCAAGCTGAAGCTATTGTTTAACAGTCTAACCAACAAAAGCCGCCAACAATTGTACACCGATGGTCTTCAAATTATGAACCACTACAGCACACTATTCAAAACAATTCTTGTAATTTCCAGTCTGTAGCAATAAATAATGCAGGCCCATCTAGAATAATCCCTTCAACAAAGTAGAGTGGCGGGGCCTCTACAAAGAAACCATACCTGAACTCTAACACCACACTGATAATTGGAAATTGTTTCAACTGTGGGGAGCTAGATAGTTATTGCTCAAACGAGTGTTGAGTTTAAGTGTATGCAAATCTCACAAAAGAATATGTTGAGGATGATGGAGAAGGGGATGTCTATGATGAAATCGACGTTAAAGTTGCAGAAGAAGTAGGAGATCTTGTGAATTCTTGTATGCAACGCCTTTTATATGCAGAAGAGAAGAGTTCTAACCAACACAACATCTTTTGGGAGCTGAGCCTTACTTGACAGTAGTCTTCGCCCCGTCTTAAAACATGAGCCGACCTTCTTAGGCTGGGATGGCCTATTCGACCAAATTCACTTAGAGAGCTGAGCCTTACTTCTTCATTTCAACATGATCACAACAGAAACAAGGACTTAGGAACCTTAGCACATGTGGGGGAATCAGTAGAGCCTTCGACCCCCCTTATGCATAGGTCACATGTGTTGCGCATACCGACCCCTCGATAAGTGTTCCCTTCACCCACTTATAAATATCGCATTAAATGTTAGGAGAGAGGACCTTTGGCCTCTTCACCTACCTTACCATAACTCAGGACTCTGCTACCTCACGTCATTTTCCGAGCTTAAAACTTAAACCAAGAAGCTGACTGTTGCAGGACACATCTACGATCCGACCTCACGACTTGGGCATGTATTTGGGATATCGTTGCGTATTTACAACATCAAGGATTAATATTTAGACAGAACCTAGAAGATTCTTGAACCCTTTAAGCTTGACTGGTTGAGAGGTTTTGAAACTTATTAACTATGTGTAAACTCATGTGTTGCTTGTTATTCGTAACTTTTTCAAGCTTCAGGAGTGCTCTATTATAGAGCTGAGGGCATCAATATTTAAACGTTTGAAAACACTTCATGTTCGCGCCTTTTGAAATGATAGGTGACCAAAAACCTGTAACTCCCTCTTTTTTACGACTACACGCTATTGACCTTGGTAATGCCTTTTTCCCTTTTGAACACAACATAATCACTTTGTCTCAGAGGCCAAAAAGCATGTTTGCTCTTTGTAAGAAGATATCTTGTTGTTAGATGTCCTTAGAGAG